CGTCATTGTTGTTTAGTACCCTGGAAAGGTTCCTGACAGCAGATTTTCCTAATGCAGTTAGTCTTTATTTCCTGACTGCTACTGCCAAGATTGTTGATTGTGTAAATTAGCAAGCTAAAATTGTTAACACTCTCAATCTCTTCTCCATCTATCATGGTGCTGTTAATTGGCCCAGTGGTGAAAATCTTCATTTTCTTGATGTTGAGCTTCAATCCTTATTGTAGACTACAGTCCTTGACCCTCTGCAGGTCAAGGTTCTTCTCAGTTTCTGCAAGCAATGTTGTGTCATGTGCATGACTCAAGTTGTTGAGGAGTCTTCCTCTAATCCTGATGCTATATTCCTCCTCATAAAGTCCAGCCTCTAGCATGATCTGTTCCACGTATAGATTGAAAAAGCATGGAGATAGGACTCATCCCTAACACGTTCTTTTCCTAATTCTGAACCATGCAGTGTTTCCTTGCTCTTTTCTGAGGGCTACCTCCTAGTTTAGGTATAGTTTCACATGAGCAAAATCAGGTGTTCTGGGATTCCCATTCTTCTCAATTTTAGGCACAATTTGTTATGAACCACCCAATCAAATACTATTGCATAGTCAATGAAACAAAGATCTATATTGTTCTGGTGCTCTCTGTTTTCAGGCAAGATCCATCCGATATTGGCGATTTTGTCTCTAGTGCCATGGCCACTTCTAAACCAGGCTTATATTTTTGATAGCTCTTAGTCAATATACTCTTCCAGCCATTTTTTGCATGATCTTCAGCAAGATTTTGCTTACATGTGATATGAGTGATACTGTTTGAAAATGTCTGTGTTCTGTTGGGTTAACATTTTTTTAAAATGGATATACATATGGCTTGAGGGATAACATGCACCTGATCCAGACCATGGTCTTTTCAACAATTTATTGCTCATCTGACAGCTGGACAATGAATAAGGGTGACAGAAAAAGAATTGATTCCTTTGAGTTTCTGTGTTGAAGACTAGAGAACATCCTATGGCTTGCCAAAAGAACGTCTTGAAGAAGGTGTAGAGCCAGAGTGCTTCTTGAACACAAAGATGAAAAGTTTCATCTCACATACTTTGGGTATGTTGATAGTAGAGGCTTTTGTTTGGATAGAACATCATGCTTGAAAAGGTGCAGGGTTGGTGAATGAGAGAAAGACCTTCAACAAAATTGATTTATTCAGTGATTGCAGCAATGTGTTTTAGTGTTTCAGAGATAATGAGGATGGAACATGACAGGACAGAGTTCAGATCTGCTGTTTATAGGATTGCTATGGGTTGTACTTGATTTGATGGCACCTAATATTGCATTGGAAATATCTGTTGCCAAAAGAGCAAAGATGTCTTTTTAGAGACTAAAGTGAACCTGGTCCAAGTCATGGTATTTTTTTTATTTTATTTTATTATTTGTGTGTGTGCGTGTACCGTCAAATCAGATCTGACTGATACAGGAGGAGATTGTCCCTCCTTCCTCGGCAGAGCATCTGGTGGATTCGAACCGTGCACCTCTGGGATTGCAGTGCAGCTTCTTGCCACTAGGCCACCAGAGCTCCCCTCAAGTCATGGTATTTTTAGGTGCTTCATTTGAATGTGAAATTTGGACAATGAGTAAAGAAGATAAAAGAAGAATGGATGTCTTTGAATCATGGTGCTGGAGAAGAATATTGAATATACTATGGTTCAAAATTGGGAAGGGTGTAAGCCAGGGATGCATCCTATCTCCATACCTTTTCAACCTATATGCAGAACAGATTATCCGGGAGGCTGGGCTCTATGAGGAGAAATGTGGGGTCAAGATTGGTGGACAATTTATCAACAATCTGCGTTATGCAGATGACACAACCCTGCTTGCTGAAACTGAGAAGGACCTGAAGTGCCTGCTGCAGAGTGTCAAGGACTGCAGCCTACGATATGGATTGAGGCTCAATGCCAAGAAGACAAAGATTCTCACCACTGGACCAATTGGCAGCATCAGGATGGATGGTAAAGAGATTGAGATTGTACACAGCTTTAGTTTGCTTGGCTCCATAGTCAACAGTCTTGGCACCAGCAGCCAGGAAATTAAAAGGGGCATTGCCATGGAAAAGTCTGCTGTTAGGGACCTCTCCAAAGTGCTGAAGAGCGATGATGTCTCTTTGGAGACTAAGACGCTTCTGATACAGGCCATGGTCTTCACAATCACCTGTTATGCATCAGAGAGTTGGACAATGACCAAGGAGGATAGACGGAGAATTGATGCGTTTGAGCTGTGGTGCTGGAGAAGAGTATTGAGAATACCATGGACTGCTAGGAAAACAAACAGATTTGTCCTGGAAAGGGTTAAACCGGGTGGCTCCTTGGAGGCAAGGATTCTGAGGCTCCATCTAACATACTTTGGACATGTTGTGAGGAGAGACTGGTCCTTAGAGAGGGACATCATGCTTGGGAGGGTGGAGGGACAGCGCAGGAGAGGAAGGCCCTCTATGAGGTGGATTGATTCTGTGACTGGGATAATTGGGATGGGAGTGTCAGAGACAGTGCGATTGGCACAGGACAGAGCGGAGTTTAGCGCTGTTGTACATAGGGTGGCTATGAGTCACAGGCAACTCGACGGCACATAACAACAACAACAACATGGACAAAGAATTAACAATCTATATTGGAAAAAAAGGGAGACAGGATGCTTCTCAGGTGTAAGGATAGTAATTATCACAGTCTTTTGGCATGTTATTGTGAGGGTCAGTTCTTGGAATAGGACAGCATTCTTGAAAAAAAGTTGAAGGCCAGTGAAGGGAAGAAAGACTGCCAAGGTGTATTCATGCAGTGACTACAACAATGACTTTACATGTAGCAGGAATAATATGGATTAAGCAGTATTTTATTCTGTTGTACTTATGTCATTATGGATCAGAGCTTTTTGATGGCACCTAATAACATTCAATTTTCCATAGTGGTTGTACTATTTTGCAGTATACCTGCTGTAGTGTATATGAATTTCATTCTCCCTGTAGTGTCATCGGCATTTGTTCATTTATATGCAGAAGAGTCCTCGGAGAGGGATGCCATGCTTGGGAGGGTGGAAGGACAGTGCAAGAAAGGAAGACCCTCAATGAGATGAATTGATTCTATGACTGGGGCAATGGGGGTAGGTGTGTCAGAGACAGTGAAATTAGCTCTGGATAGAGCAGGGTTTAGGGCTGTTGTAGATAGGGCCGCTATGAGTCACAGGTGCCTCGATGGCACATAACAACAACAATCTGCGGCAAAGTATTTAACTCTTTATTTTATACCACATAATTGATTTGTTGTTGTTGTTATGTACCATCAAGTTATGTCAGAGGACATAAATCACACAGAAGAGAATTGCCCATCATTCCCCTGAGAAGCAGCTGCTGTATTCAAACAATGTGATTTCAGGTTTGCAGTGTAGCTCCTGATCTAAGCCACCACAGCTATACGAAGAGTAATAATAAAATTATAAAAATGCAACTTATTCTTATGAAGGTTCCTTATTTGAAGATATTATTGTTGTTGTTGTTATGCGCCATCGAGTCGCTTGCGACTCATAGCGACCCTATGTACAACAGCCCTAAACTCTGCTCTGTCCTGTACCAATTGCATTGTCTGGCACACCCATCCCAATTACCCCAATCACTGAATCAATCCACCTCATGGGGCCTTCCCCTCCTGTGCTGTCCCTCCACCCTCCCAAGCATGATGTCCCTCTCCAAGGACCTCTCCCTCCTTGCAACATGTCCAAAGTATGTTAGATGGAGCCTTAGAATCCTTGCCTCCAAGGAGCCGCCTGGCTTGACCCTTTCCAGGAAGAATCTGTTTGTTTTTCTAGCAGTCCATGGTACCCTCAATACTCTTCTCCAGCACCACAGCTCAAAGACATCAATTCTCCTTCTATCCTTCTTAGTCATTGTCCAACTCTCTGATGCATAACAAGTGATAGCAAAGACCATGGCCTGTATCAGATGCACCTTAGTCTCCAAAGAGACACCATTGCTTTTCAGTACTTTGGAGAGGTCCCTAACAGCAGACTTTCCCATGTCAATACGTCTTCTAGTTTCCTGGCTGCTGGTGCCGAGAGTGTTGACTGTGGAGCCAAGCAAACGGAAGCTGTGAACAATCTCAATCTCTTCAGCATCCATCTTGATACTGCCAATTGGCCCAGTGGTGAGAATCTTTGTCTTCTTGGCATTGAGCCTCAATCCATTTTGGAGGCTGCAGTCCTTGACCCTCTGCAGCAAGTGCTTCAGGTCCTTCTCAGTTTCAGCAAGCAGAAACAAAAATTTATTTTGCACTGGAAAACTTAACAGCATCATTTACAATGGATTATGGTCACAGAAAATATACTGTTAGTCACTTCAAATAAAAGAAAGAAATGAAAACTTGTCATGAATCCTAGCAAATGTAAATAGAACAATTTTCAAAAATAGTCCTTTCCTAAATAAATTTTAGTTTTTTCCTAGTGTTTGATTTTTGACATATTAAATGTAATATAAATTTAATATTTAAATGTAATATTAAATGTAATATAAATTTAAATTTTAGAAAATCTTCAGTTTAACCTAGTTATAAAGGCTTGTTTTATTTTTTTTTCTCTACTTAACACAAATGTGTGCATGACAATGTTTTGTTGACTTTAAGGAGAGTTTAGGTGGTGGAACAAAAAAAAACATGTGTAGGTACCTTATCTGCCTGTATTACTTCAAGCCAAATTCTGTAAATGTTTATGAAATAATGACACAATGAATAATGCATCAAATTTAAAATAGAACTGTATCTTTAAATAACCACATTTCATTTAATTTCTGTCATTATATTAATAATCCTCTATAATTTTATCAAATTGCATTTTTCTCCTTAAAAAAACTATTTTCATTTGATTGGATAATGGAAACATTAGTTAGAAAAATTATTGAGCATATGATCCTTTACGGTAATCCATGTCATCTTTTCTTGCACTTAACTCTACCTCACCTGTTTCCTTCTTCTTTTCTTTCATCAGGCAGAGATCAATGATCCCACTGATCCTTTCACTAGTTCCATCACAAAAGTTCCAACAAATAGAGGTGATGAAACGTTATCCAAGTATATAGGATGGAGAACTGCTGACACACTTTCCAAACTATTCTTTCCCCCTGCTGATCCTCTTCCTTTGAAGAAACAACTTAGAAAACAAACTCAAATGCAAAATCAAGGAAAAGGGGAAGAGTCAATGAAGAAGCATGTTCTACGTTTCACTGTAAGGTAAAGTAAAACACTATTTAAAATAGCTCTATTATTCTAATAAATTAAGATTTTAAAACCACAGTATCCATATAAAAGTCTGTTCTTAAATTAAAGCTTTATAATTATTTAACTCAGGTTCTTTTCTGCAATTGAAATCATGACACTGCTACCTCCAAGATAGTCTATCATATGGAAGTTACTCCTTTCTCATGAATGAATTCTTCTTGTTAAAAGACATATTATTTAATGCAAGTCAATGCCCATGGATTATTTTGTGGAAAGTACAATGGACCAGGAATTAAAAATTATATAATCAAATTCTTCATTGTCATTATTAAATTATATAATAAAATTTCAAGACTAAATTATTTTTAAGTGCATATGAAGAGATGTGTGTGTCTCTGTGTGTGTATTGGTGGCTGTTTTTAATACATCCAAGTTAGGGCAATAGTTATTCAGGTCCCCCCAAAATGTCTTTATATATTTTTATTTGGATTTTGAATAATTTTGTACCTGGAAAGATTTACTTATGCAAATATTTTTCAGATTTATTCTTCAATTTCTTCAATTGCAAATTCATTCCAGACATTTCTAAACCTGCTACAACTATTTTTGCATAATTAGATAGCTTCCATGCTGTCTCCCTCTGATAGATTAAAAATTAGGTGAAAAATCATTCTTTTTACATCTAATAAAGGCTCTGCTACAAATGTTTGAAGCTTTTGGTAAAAATTCATGAAAGAAACTCAACTTATTCTTTAAATTATTTTAAATAATCCATTGTATCATAGTTTTTTCCTATTTGATTTGGGCAAAGTCAGAATGTAGTTAGTTTTTTTGTATGTTTCTAACAATTTATTCCTTGATATGTGCTGATGCTGTAGTCATCATTATGTCTTGTTGTTGTTGTTGTTACGTGCCACTGAGTTGTTTGCCACTCAGCGACACTTATATACAACAGCTCTGAACCCTGCTCTATCCTGAGACAGCCTTATTGACTCTAACACACCTACCCCATTAAACCAGTCTCTAATCAAACCATCTCATTGATGATCTTCCTCTCTTGTACTGTCCCTCCACCGTCCCAAGCATGATTGCCCTCCCCTAGGACAGGTCCCTCCTTGCAACATGCCCAAAGTAGTTGGACAAAGCCTCAGAATCCTTGCCTCAAAGGAGCACTCTGGTTTCACTTTCTCCAGGTAGGACCTGTTCTCCTAGTAGTCCATGTTATATTCAATACCCTTCTCTAGCACCACTGCTCAAACAAATCAATTCTCCTTCTATCATCTCTAATCATTGTCCAGCTTGTTGATGCATAGCAAGTAATTGCAAAGAATATGTCCCGGGTCAGGTACAACGTAGTCACCCAGACTGGCATCATTGCTCTTCAGTACTCTGGAGAAGTGCCTGACAGGAGACTTTCCCAAGGCAATTTGTCTATTGATTTCCTGGCTGCTGGTACTAAGAGTGTTGATTGTGGAGTTATGCAAACTGAAGCTGTTAACAATCTCAATCTCTTCACCTTATATCATGATTCTACCAATTGACCCAGAGGGGAGAATCTTTGTTTCTATAATGTTGAGTTTCAATACATATTGAAGGCTGAAGTCCTCTACCTTCTTCAGCAAACATTTCATGTCCTCCTCAGTTTCACCAAGTAAGATAGTACCATCTGCTTAATGCAGGTTATTGACGAGTCTTTCTCCAATCCTGATGTCACATTTCTCCTCATAGAGCCAAGCCTCCTGGGTGATCTGTTCTGCATATAGATTGGAAAAGTATGGAGATAGGACACATGCCTGGCTGAAGCAGAGTACCAGAGGACTATATATATGTGTTCATTGACTATGCCAAGGCATTTGACTGTGTGGATCACAACAAACTGAGGCTATCTCTGAGAAGAGTGGAAATCCCAGAACACTTGATTGTGCTTATCTGAAACCTATACTTGGACCAGGAGGCAGTCATCAGAACAGAGAAAGGAAATAATGTATCTTTCAAAATCAGTAAGGGTGTACACCAGCAACGTGTCCTCTAATTATGGCTTGTTGTTGTTATGTGCCGTCGAGTCGTTTGCGACTCATAGCGACCCTATGTACAACAGCCCTAAACCCTGTTCTATACTGTGCCAGTTGCATTGCCTCTGACACACCCATCCCGAATACCCCAGTCACTGAATCAATCCACCTCATAGAGGGTCTTCCCCTCCTGCGCTGTCCCTCTACCCTACCAAGCATGATATCCCTCTCCAAAGACCTGTCTCTCCTTACAACATGTCCACAGTGTGTCAGACGAAGCCCCAGAATCCTTGCCTCCAAGGAGTAGCCTGGTTTAACCCTCTCTAGGATGTATCTGTTTGTTTTCTTGACAGTCCATGGAACATTCAATACTCGTCAATTCTCCTTCTATCCTCCCTAGTCATTGTCCAACTCTCTAATGCATAACAAGTGATTGCAAAGACCATGGCCTGTATCAGGCACACCTTAGTCTCCAGAGAGACACCATTGCTCTTAAGTACTTTATGACTTAGGAAATTATAATTGATAATATATTTCTACTCTGATTTTGTCACCCTAATATCCTGTGATGGTTACCACTCCTATATTTATTTCTTGATTATAACTTTAGTTCTTGTTTATCTACTAAATTATGTGTATCTTGGCCTTTTAAAATAAATTCTAAATGCTGGAGAAGCTCAATATCAGCTGTGAAAACTAGGCCAGGAGCTGATTGTGGAACAGACCATCAACTACTCATGTGCAAGTTCAAGCTGAAGCTGGGAAAATTAAACCAAATCCATCAGAACAAAAATGTGACTTTGAGTCTATCCCACCTAAATTTCAGAACCGTCTCAGGAACAGGATTGAGGCCTTGAACACTAGTGAGCAAAGACCAGATGAGTTGTGGGAGGATATCAAGGGTATCATCCAGGAAAAGTGCAAACTGTCATTTCAAAGACAAAAGAGCAAGAGAAGACCAAAATGGATGTTAGAAGAGACTCTGAATATTGCACTGGAGAGCAGAAAAGCCAAAGCAGAAGGAAAAATTCAAGATACTAAAGAGCTGAACAGAAGATTTTAAAAGGCAGCATGGGATGACAAAGTAAAATATTACAATGATATGTGCAACGAGTTGGAGTAAAAAATCAAAAGGGCTGAACTTGCTCAGCATTTCTTAAGCTCAAGGAACTGAAAAACAAATTCAAACCTAGAGTTGCTATAATCAAGGATGCTTTAGGCAGAATATTAAATGATCAGGAATATTAAAAGAAGATGGAAAGAATATACTGAATCACTGTGTCGGAAGGAATTGGCAGACACAGATTTTCATGAAACAACATATGAGCAAGAGCCTATGGTGATGAAAGAAGAAGTTCAGACTGCTTTAAAGAAAATGGCAAGAAATAAGGCCCCAGGAATAGAAGGTATACCAATTAACATATTTCAGCTAACAGATGCTGCCCTGGACGTGCTCGCCAAGTTGTGCCAAGAAATCTGGAGAACAACCACTGGGCCAACTGGAAGAGATATATATTTCTTCCCATTCCAAAAAAAAGGTGACCCAACAGAGTGTGGAAACTATTGAACAATATCATTGATTTCACACACAAGCAAGATTCTACTGAAGATTATCCAAATACGACTAGAACAGCACATCAGCAGAGAACTGCCAGAAGTCGAGGCTGGGTTTAGAAGAAGTCGTGGTACTAGGGATATTGTAGCTGATGTTAGATGGATCTTAGCTGAAAGCAGGGAATACCGGAAGAATGTCTATCTGTGTTTCATTGGCTACGCAAAGGCGTTTGACTGTGTGGATCATAACAAACTGTGGCTGACTCTGAGAAGAATGGCATTCCCAGTACACTTGATCGTGCTAATGTGAAACCTATTCTTGGACCAAGAGGCAGTCATCAGAACAGAGCAGGGTAACACTGCATGGTTCAAAATTCGGAAGGACATACACCAGGGATGTGTCCTTTCCCCATACCTTTTCAACCTGTATGCAGAACAGATTATCCGGGAGGCTGGGCTCTATGAAGAGAAATGTGGGGTGAAGAATTGTGGAAGATCTATCAACAATCTGCGTTATGCAGATGACACAACCCTGCTTGCGGAAACTGAGGAGGACCTGAAGTGTTTGCTGCAGAGGGTTAAGGACTGCAGCCTTCAATATGGATTGAGGCTCAATATCAGGAAGACAAAGATTCTTACCACTGAACCAATTGGCAGCATCAGGATGGATGGTGAAGAGATTGAGATGGTTCACAGCTTCAGTTTACTTGGCTCCACAGTCAACACTCTCAGCACCAGCAGGCAGAAAACTAGAAGACGTATTGACATGGGAAAGTCTGCTGTTAGGGACCTCACCAAAGTACTGAAGAACAATGGTGTCTCTTTGTAGACTAAGGTGCATCTGATACAGGCCACGGTCTTTGCTATCACTTGTTATGCATCAGAGAATTGGACAATGACTAAGAAGGATAGAAGGAGAATTGATGTCTTTGAGCTTTGATGCTGGAGAAGAATATTGAGGGTACCATGGACTGCTAGGAAAACAAACAGATTCTTCCTGGAAAGGGTCAAGCCAGGTGGCTCCTTGGAGGCAAGGATTCTGAGGCTCCGTTTAACATACTTTGGGCGTGTTGTAAGGAGGGAGAGGTCCTTGGAGAGGGACATTATGCTTGGTAGGGTGCAGGCACAGTGCAAGAGGGGAAGGCCTTCTATGAGATGGATTGATTCAGTGACTGGGGTAATCAGGAGGGTGTGTCAGAGACCGTGTGATTGTTACAGGATAGAGTAGACTTTAGGGCTCTTGTACTTAGGGTCGCTATGAGTCACAAGCAACTTGATGGCACATAACAACAACACAACAATATAAAATATATTCTATTTTTCCAATGCATATATTTTTATTATTTTCAGTATAAATCTGTTAATTCTCTTATTTGGTTTATTTTGTCTCATATTTTCTGTCGTTTTTGAAGCAGATGCTAAATAATTCAGAAAATTCTCCTCCTC